AATTCTGGTCTTGCCATGTAAATTGACTTTCTGCAAAGGTAGCCATTTCAGAAGTTCCACCCAGGTATTAATGTGTGTGTTTGTAGTTGTTTTAAGTAGTCGTATATGTTAGAGTTCTGTTTTTGGTTAATATTTCAGGCTAAGAAAACTTGGACGGAGCTGGTAGAGATGCTCTACTGGGTGGGAGCCAAAAGTCTAACCACCAGCAAGAGCTACCTGCAACTGTGTAATTAAGATGAACAGCCCAGGTTCTAGTCTGGTCTCCTTTTGCAGAAAGTTAATTTTAAAGTAAGACCAAAATCTTTTTTCTAATACATTTTGAATATGTAAGTCTTTAAATTCTTCTTTGAGTGATTGTCCATATGGATTCCACAGCTTTGTGAGCAAGATGACATTTTTGACAAAAATACGTCGTAGTTGTGCCTGTGGTGTACCTGGCCTCATGGCTTTAATCCGAGCATATAAAGGGCCTAGCAGCTTCGTGCTGCCTGTTGCACTGAGATATAATATGGACACTGTTCGCTGCCTCTTCCTGTTGAAGTGTCTCCTTCTGTTTTGTTGAATAGTTTGCTTTCCTGTAGAACCCTGTACGTACACACAATGCTATTCTGCATTTTAATCTTAAATTGTCCACTTCCCATACTTCCAAGAGAAATGGAAATATTTAAAATCTGCCCCTTTATTAGCTAAATTTTGTTGTCATTTTGTAGTCAATAGGGACTAAAGGTTTTTACATTCAGGTATACTGCTGGGTTGATACTCCTTTAGAAACAAAGCTTGAAAATTAGTAAATCAGCTTATTCCAGAGTGGACACTCATAATGTTACATGCCTGCTCAGACACTGAACTGAAACGTGTAAGGTGTATGTTGAAGCCCCAGGCTGTCCCATGTCTGACCATCCGGGTTTGCTGTGATTTAGTTACTCAAGCTTCCTGACTGCACTGGCCAGCGTATTTTCCCTCTCGCTGCTTCAGCAGCCTGTTACAGATGACACTGTTGCAGCATTTCTTTCTCAGAGATTGACTTAATATCAGAGGCAAGACAGGAGACAGGAATAAGATTTACTATCATGATCAGTGGGATCTTACACAAGGTGTAAAAAGCATGGGTGCTGCCCACTAAAGCTGTTTACCACCTCTTTTGTTAGTGATTCCTTTTCTGTCTAGTCTCTCTCTTTACAGGTGGTCAATTAAGTCTTCAGAACAATAGTGGGTTTATTCATTCTGATGATGTCATGGACACAGATCTTGAGACTAGGAGGTTTTTGCTTTGTTTTTTGGGAGTGGGGAAGTGACTTGGCAGACATTTAACAAGTTGATAGAGTGAGAAGTAAAGGAAGTGTTTTTGGCACCAGCTTTGTCCCCTAAGGGTGTTCACTAATCACAGTAAACTATGCCACTGTGTTCTCTCATGTCCTGTCTTGTTAAAGCACTCTTCTGTGTGTCCATTTTGGCATGACAGATACTCATTTCTGTGCCTTTTCCCTTGTAAAAATTGTGTCAACATAATAAGGAGAATCCCATGCAAAGGATAGTTGAAAGATTTCTGTAGGGGTACTGTAAGAAAGCGTGTGTGTGTGTAGAACCTCACCCGAGAGTGCAGTCAGTCAGTCAGTTAATCCCATCACTTGTTTGGATTTAGGGTTTTAATACTTTACTGAAAGAGGCTGCATAAACTAGGCACAGTACAATCATTTTGTATTCCAGTTGGATTATATACATTAAATCTAATCAATACAGTCACCTAAATTGGTCGGTAATCCTGAAAAAATAAAAGTTAGCAGGAAGATTAAGATAAAAAAGAGGCTAGTCTACAGGAACAGATAGTTTGCTGTGTTCAGGATGTTTCTGCCCTTAAGTTGATGAAATGTTTAAGTGTGTCGCTGGCAATGGTGCAAGAGTTGCTTTGTTACCACAGATACCTCACACCTGTCTTCTAGGAGCTGTTAGAATGTAAATGATGTGATTGTTGGATAGAATATTCTCCAGCTTCCATATTTGTCACATCTGTATTTTTAACCCTTCAGGAGACTGCAGTGTTCTTCAATTAGCACTGTACATGTTCAGTGTAGTCTGGAGATGTTGAGCCATCAGGAGTTTTCTAAGTGTCCACTTAGAGAAAAAGAACAAATCTTTGGGTTTTGATGTTGTGTTTGTGAAATGGCTGTCAGGTGCTTCAGTCTGTATGTGACCACTTGAACGATGCTACATCTGCAATACTGAGAGGAGCCAGATTGTTTGAGGGACAAATAGTAGCTCACAGAGCCATAGGAGACTTCTCCATCACGCATGACTGCACTGGCAGTTGTATAGACATTTTCCTGGCTCCAGTCTCCAGGACTTCTCAGGGAGGTTTTTCACTGCTGTTGCCTCACAAGGCCTTCCATTGCTGTTCTCTCTCACCTGTGAAACAGCAGATTTCAGCCATACACATAGGAATGTGACAGTACCAAAGAAGGCTGGACCCTGCCTGCAAAGAAACAAATGCTTAAGTAGTCAAATTGGAGAGATACTAGATTATTTTCCCTACAGCTCTTGGGAATTGTTTTGAACATTTAGAAGTTGCTGTGTAGCTAATCTCAGATCAATTATTAATGCATGTAAAAAAATACAGGTATGCATTACTTGGAAATATCTTCCCTCATCCCTGTTCTTCCATAGCTGTTTTCAGGAACTGAACTCATGGGGATTAAAACTGTCTTGGATAGCAACAGACTCTGCTCCTTCTTAATGTTAAGAATAGTGATTCAGATTATTCTAATTCTTTTGTTAAGTTAAAGCCAATCACCTCTGCTTAATTGAGAGTAGAGAGTACACCAGAAAACCTTTTCTTTAACTTACAGCTATGATATGTAGCTACCTTGTCACACAGAACTATCTTGTATTGTATTACCAGGAAAAGTCATTCAGGAACTTGCATAAACAGACTAGCTCCCATTTACAGCAAGGTTTTGGAATGTACAAAATCTCATTATTTATTTAAGTGAATATCCAGTTGTATGAGGTGCATTTATTTACATTTACTTAACTCTGTCACAAGGTGGAGATAAGCCATTTCTTTTGATTTTTATTTTTCTTTCAAGACACCACTACAGGTTTGAGAAATAAAGATAGGTAAAAGTGCAGTGCACTTTCCCGGAATAGTGTCCACACAGCTGACTCTTCTCTGACATTCAGACAGGTGGTTGTTACAGCAGGACTGTTCTAACACTATTTTTCACAGGGTCTTTTATTGTATTTGAAATGCCTAACACATGCAAGTTTACTGGTGTTGTGGTTTGGGCCTGGTTGGCAGCCAACCACAATGCAGCAGCTCTCTCTCCCTTCCCCTCTGGCAATGAGAAGGGACAGAGAGCCAGGCTTGGGGTTCAAGATAGGACTGGGATGGGGAAAAATTCCCCCCTACGATCACAAGCAAAAGGCAGACTCGTTAGGGGAAGAAAAAAAGAACATACATTTATTACAGACACTAACAACACATAACAGAGTAGGACAGTGAGAAGCATTGCCACATCTTGAGAACACCTTCCCCCCACCCCTCCCTTCTTCCCGGGCTCAGCTCTGCTCCCGATATCTCTACCTCCTCCCCCAGTGGCGCAGGGGCAGGGAATGGGGGGTGCAGTCAGTGCTGCCACTTCCTTCATCGTCAGTGAGGGGAGTGTCCGAAACTTGTTCTTCCTGCTCCATCGTGGTCCCCCTCTCACAGCAGACAGTCCTCCACAAACTTTCTCCAACATGAGTCCCTCCCACAGGCCGCAGCGTTCCCCACACTGCTCCGTCATGGATCACTAACTTCCTCCGACTGGATTCCCTCCCACGGCTGCAGCCCTTCCCGAGCTGCTCTGGTGTGGGACTCCCCCGCATGCTGCAATCCTCCCAGCGCTGAATTACAGCAGCGGGGCTGCCTTTTCCCACGAGACCCTGGCCTTCTTCGGGCACAGCACCTTGATTATGCCAAGCAGAAGCCACAGGCCATAAATCCATGTCTGCTCCACCGTAGATCTCCATGGGTGGCAGGGGGGGCCGCCCTGCCGTCTCCCCACAGGATACAGGGGGGTCTCTGCTCCGGCACACCTCCCCCCTCCTTTCTTCCTCCGTTCCTCCACTGACCTTGGTGTTCATGCAGCTGCAGCAACTCCTCCTCACCAGTCCCACTGCTCCTCACCACGTCCCTTCTTAAATACGTTATCACAGAGGCGCAGCTGATGGGCTCAGTTTCCAAACAGAAGTGGAGCTGACGTGGAGCTGGGGGAGCTTTGAGAAGCTTCTCACCGGGGGCCGCTCCTATAGCCCCCTCCCCTGCCACCAAAAAACTCCACCACTCACTCAACCCAGGACAACTGGGCTCCTTGTGTAGTCAACAGAGAATAATGGCACTCATAAAGTAGTGGTGAAGATCCCTATCAGTGTCCAAGAGTAAATAGATGATTCCTTGTCAGTTGCCAAGAGTGGAATCCATGTGTACAGTAGCTTGAAGTAAGAATAATTGCAGTTTCTGTGGTTATGATGAATGTCTACTCTGTCTGTGTAGATTCCACAACTTGCCTGCCTTCACTGCTTCTGTAGTTTTCTTCTGAAGTCTTGTGTGGTGAAAATACTGAAGAATGATTTAGGCTACTCTGTCTTTCATGTCATGGTGCAGGGATGGAGAGGAAGTGAAGATAAATAGGCCACATGAGTACTGGCACAGCAAAAATATAGTTTTCAGACAAAACCTCCTAATTACAAATAGTATAAGTCAGAAAAAAACCTTCTATTTCCACATATTCAGAGGACTAGAAAGGTGGTATTAAATGTCTTATTCTGTGTTTGAGAGGTCCTTCTGGAAAAGCTGAACTTTCCAAATGCCAAATTATACTGTTAATATTATGAAGGTTTTGAAAATATTAAACTGAGTACTACTGATGCACATAATACTATCAAATAAATCGGTGTATTATGTAGGTGATTACAGAAGAGCTGTCTGCTAATGTTTTTTAATATTTTTTTTTTTCTTTAAGAATGAAACCAAGAAAAATTAAAGAAGATGATGCGCCACGAACGATAGCCTGTCCTCACAAAGTAAGTGAAATGCTCAGCTTCTGAGTAGGTAGTAATTTATAAAACAGAATTTTATATTAATGTTTTCTCTTGAGAATGAATAACTAAAATATCTTACTGTTAATAGACAACACTCAGTTAATTGTATTTTGGTTATTATTCTTTAGAGGCTTCCTTAAAAACCTTTCAATGAATAATATATTATTCCCATTCCTTGTCTTAAGGTTAGTGCATCCCTAATCTTCTGGTAACCATGATGCACAGTCCCTAACATGCTGGTTTTACTGTTGTGATTTCCTGCCACCCAAGAATACATACTTGAAAGAATGTTCTGAAAGCTGTTCAAAGTACGTTCCTAAGATCTATATATCCTCTGCTCGGAAACTATGACAGATTTGGAGTCTAGATCAGGAATCAGCAATTTATGGTGCAGATGCCAAAGTCAGTGTTACTGGAAGACTTTGAATTACATTCCACAGAGCTGGAACATGCGTCGTCTTGAAAGAGAGAGAGGGGCATCTTGGAGATGTGATTCTGACCCACTGGTAGCAGAGAATCCTCTGTCTTGAATAAATGTTGCCAGTCACCTAGATTGGTAGCATCTAGCTTTATTGCATTATCCAGCTCTTGCAGAGCTTCTGTTAGCTGACATAGTCTGTAATGAAAAAAGACAAATACAATCTTGCTGACTTCTGGTCTAGATAAGTGTGAGCCTAAGCAAATAATCAGGGCAGATAGCTCATAGTACACATTAGAAAGCATGAATAGAAGGCTTCTTTTTGACAGCCATAGTCTAAGGAATTTGCTGGATTCCTCTTTGTGCTTATATTGACTTCCAGTTCTTCACATTCTGCAAGTGTCATGTTTTTACTGTAGTATAGTATGTGGAGATACAGGAACAGTTACTCCTTACAGTACCTAGGAATGCTGCCTTCATTTCTTTAATTTACTTTTTCATAGCCTCAACTTCATCTGATCAGGGGAAAAGAAAGAATAGTCTGTCTTTCCGTTTTTTCTCTTCTAGTGTTTCTAGGCTTTGTGCATTTGTGACTTCAGTTTAAAAAAGAAAAATACTGTAGAGGATGTAACTGCTTCTCTGAGGCAAGCAGGTACTTTGAAATAAATGTAAAAAAAGTTGATGGTATGTTTATTTTGGTGCTGCTTTGCCCCACCCAGTTCTGTTATGTGCAATGAATGGTAGCACAACACTTCCTAAACTAGGCAAAGAAATTCTAGTGCCTAGGAGAGAACTCTTCCTGAAAGTGGCATTTCTCCCTTTTTAAAGAAATAAGGCATATTTAAATGTGGTTATTAGTTTTGAAAAAAAAAAATCTGAAGAGGATGCCTGAAGAATTTAAGATTAGCAATTTAATGTTCCTTTAGGTTCTGTTGAATTTTATACTTCATAACACAGTGATGTTGGTAGCCTAGTTTTATGCAAGTTTAAACAGCATCACTTGGAGTACAGATAGAATTTGCAGCTGCTAATAGAATTTTATGAAGGATTTTGAACCTTGAGGAAGACATTTTATAAAATATATAATAGATATCTATTGTGTGTCATTAAAAGGTGAAAAGTAGTATAGAAAGAATAGGTAAAGAGAGACCCGGGTCTTTGCTAGCTTAAGTATAATCTGGAATCAAAGGTAGTATTCCTGTGTCGATGCAGCATGGACTTCTGGTGCTGTTCCTGAGTTAATGTGAGTATCTTTTGCTTTTAGGTTAAGTTGGCACTAACTCAGAGATTCTCCTACCTTCTTTGGTTGCCCAGTTTCACTTTGTAGATTTAAACTGTAGAAGCAGTGGCAGTCTCTACACCCCAAGGTTGTAGTGATCTATCTGCTGCTGCCAGTATAGACAAGGTAGTTTCTGTAAGCTGTTATGTGGACACCCTCTTGCTCCATTTCTTCTCAGGAATGAGAAGGACAGAGAAGGAAGAGGACAGAATGTTGGGAAGTAGTGGTGCACATACAAATTGGTACTAGGGAATAATCTGTGGTATTGTAGAGACTGTATCTTATATTGTAGTACTCAGAATATAGCACACTGAAGAATATACCATAGGTATCCATGAACTATCATTTTGTCTTTTTTTTTTTTTTTTTTTTTTTTTTCCCCTGAAACTGTAAGTGCTTTTGTTTGTTTTATAATTTGCTTCTATCAGCTGCATCTTTTCCATGAGACTGTCCTATTATTTATTTGACTTCCCATGGTTCATAATATTAAGTGATGATAGGGTTTGGGGTTGTTTTCGTTTGGGACTGCGGTTTTGTGGGTTAATCTGTGGTTTGGGGTTTTTTTGTCAGCTTGTCAAATGATTAGTTTTCTTGGTATTATTTTTTTATTTAAATTAAAGTAAGGGGCCCCCTTTTCAGGGCCAACTTTTAAGAAAGTATTCCGGATATAAAAGCATTTTAAATGCTTGTATTGTAGCAGATAAAACGTTCTTTATCAAAACTAACTTACCTACTAATTGAGTTTCACTGTTCTTTTTAAGGGCTGCACAAAGATGTTCAGGGACAACTCTGCCATGAGGAAGCATCTGCACACTCATGGTCCTCGAGTACACGTATGTGCAGAATGTGGCAAGGCCTTTGTGGAGAGCTCAAAACTAAAGCGACATCAGCTAGTTCATACCGGAGAGAAACCCTTTCAGGTATTGTTAACCTCCAGACATAAGTACCACAGTTTATTTGCTGAACATATTTAGACTGTAACTCTAACCTAGCTCCCATATGACTCTGGGAATACTATGTTTTTTCTAAAATCAGATGAGGCACTGAATGATGCCCTTAAAAAGTGTAAGTCCCCTGAAGCTAATTAGGCTATCATTTAACTATTTCCATGGGCTTTTGCTAGAAATTAGCAAATGGTATGTACATGGGAGATACCTTCCAAAACATGATGTAAAATTACCCACTTTAAAAGGTGAAGTCTGCAGTTACTATTGAATGAGGAAAATGTCTCTTTCTCCTCATCTTTTCAACTTAGCAGTTGTGGTCAGCTGAGACTTGGAGCTGTTTGCTTAGTTGACTCATGATACTAATTTTCAGTATCAGGTATTAATCAGTTTTCAGCAAAATGATGGTAGTCACTGAATCTCTTTCCATTCATATCAAGTCACGTGAGCTTCTCCCACCAGAGGTCCCCTGCCTACTTCATGTGACACTCCTTATAAATCTTCTTTACAGGTATTCATAGTCTTGAGCATATCTGTGTTCTCCAGTACATGTTTAAGATACGTTACTTTTTGTTGATTTATTTTCAGTAAATTGTTTCAGAAACTTCACTTGCAGTCTTCGGGCATTCACTTAAATGTGTATGCTGAATCTGCTGTGCAGTAAATATAAGTATTTACCACTAAACATGCTGCACCTTGACTTTCAGGATGAGTTTAGAATACAAACTAGTAAAATGACCAAATCTCTGCAAATTACCACTGAAAGGGGGAGATTCTGACAAAAAGCATTGTTTCTGTTTTCTAGTAAGGCGTAGCAAAATACTGTTTCAGATGCAGAGAAGGTGTTTTTAGTGAAAGGATTTGCTTGCAAGCTGGAAGTTATTTCCCTCTTTGAAAATAGATTACACTACTGTGATAAAAAAAAAAAAAAAAACAGAAATATTAATTTTATTTTTTGATGCAGTTTACAAGTGATGCTCACAGCTTCACCTATAATAATCTTCAGCATCTAGCTTCATGTTTGTGCAGTATAGTGATTTAGAGAAGAATATTGTTATAACTGATGACTGAAATGAGTACTATTTTGTTAGCTAATGGAGTATGTCTTCTCCTTTCAACAGTGTACGTTTGAAGGATGTGGAAAGCGTTTTTCACTGGACTTCAATTTACGCACACATGTGCGAATTCATACTGGCGACAGGCCCTATGTTTGCCCATTTGATGGCTGCAATAAGAAGTTTGCGCAATCAACTAACCTGAAATCTCACATCTTAACACACGCTAAGGCCAAAAACAACCAGTGAAAGTTGGAGGAGAAAGTTCTTGAACTCAAAGCGTCTTACAGGAGTATGAATTGGAAATAAATACGCCTCCCCTTTGTATATTGTTTCTAGGAAAGAATTTTAAAAAAAGAACCCTACAAACCTAAAGGACGTGTTTTGATAAGTAGTAAATAAAAAGCAAAAAAAAAAAAAAAAAAAAAACATAAAAAAAACTTTAAGGTGACGTTGCTAAGATGCTCTACCTTGCTCTGTAATCCCGTTTCAAGAACGCGGTGTTTTGTAAAGTGTGGCCCCAACTGGAGGGGTCAGTTCATGAACTTGCATCAAAAAAGACAATTCTTTATACAACAGTGCTAAAATTGGACTTCTTTTCACATTCTTATAAATATGAAGCTCACCTGTTGCTTACAATTTTTTTAATTTTGTATTTTCCAAGTGTGCATATTGTACACTTTTTGGGGATATGCGTGGTAATGCTATGTGTGATTTCTCTGGAGGTTGATAACTTTGCTTGCGGTAGATTTTCTTTAAAAGAATGGGCAGTTACATGCATACTTCAAAAGTATTTTCCTGTAAAGAAAAAAAGTTATATAGGTTTTGTTTGCTATCTTAATTTTGGTTGTATTCTTTGATGTTAACACATTTTGTATAATTGTATCGTATAGCTGTAATGAAATCATGTAGTATCAAATATTAGATGTGATTTAATAGTGTTAATCAATTTAAACCCATTTTAGTCACTTTTTTTGGAGAAATACTGCCAGATGCTGATGTTCAGTGTAATTTCTTTGCCTGTTCAGTTACAGAAAGTGGTGCTCAGTTGTAGAATGTATTGTACAGGCACTGACCTTTTATTAACACCTGATAATATGTACATCCCATGTAATAGAAAGGGCAACAATAAAACAGTGCTCCTAAAGAAAGAATATGGCAGAAAATGATCTGTAAGCACAGTCTATTTTCTTTTGTTGTCCAGAGCAGTCCTAGTTCCTCTTGACCTCCCAGAAACTGGAAGCTAAATAAAGTCAAGTTTCCTTTACTTTGCATTCAATTACAATGTTTTGTGATAAAATTGCATAATGCCATGTCAGGTGATATACTTAAACAGAATTGCTGACTGTAATTCTGTTTTTGAGTGACTTAGACTTCCATTAACTGGAACGGTGGATTTGGAGACTTGGCAGTGTAGTAGGGAGTTCTGAGTGTGCCTGGACAGCAGCTAGGTAAAACAGTACAGTAAATAAGTAAATGGGCACCCTTGTTTAGTCAACATAAGGAATCTTGGAGGTTTAAATGCAATAACAATAGAAAGTGGGGGTACAGTAGAGTTGGAGTGTTTGTACCAGAAAAAAGAAAATTGTCTTTTTTCTTTTGGCTAACTTGTTTGACTGAGTATAATGATGAAAACCCTTGGAGCCGCATTGGACGCCTTTTACTTCAAAACAGGAACTCAAGAGTTCTTGGAGAACTTGACAGTCTAACTAGAAGTGGTTACTACTCATTTGTTCAAGTGTTGAAAGTAAGAAATTTGCAGATACTATAGTTAAATGTGACAGATTAATAAACATAAGAATATGCACAGAAATGCATAAGTATTATTTTTGAGGGATGTGACATTTTAATATAGTAAAAACTGTTAATATTTTTCTGAATTCTGTTCTTACAAGATTCATCAAATTTTTAATTGCTAATACATAAAACTTAGTTTTGAGTCCAGTTTTGATGTTAGTGGAAAAAAGATGGGTAATAATGAAACTACACTTAAGACCAAGGGAATTTTCATACATATATAAGTTAAGCTGAACACAGCAGCTCTATGAGGTTATTTTAAGAGTAGAAAGAAATATGAGGCATTTAATTATAAAGTATGCACTAGAATTTTGGCAGGTTTTATATATATATATATATATATATATATATATATATATATATATAAAAGCAGTTCTTGAACAGGACAATATACTGAAACTTGTATAGTTATAGTTAAATTAAATTCTGTATGCAGTTAAATTAGTGTCTGTTCTTTTTGGAAGGAAATAAAATCGGTTCAGTCTAGTTCTAACTGACCTTACATTTTTTTCTTACACAGTATATATGGTGGTGTTAGACTTGCGCAGAAGTTTGCTTTCCTATGTCATAGAGTGATACCCATTTTATTGAATTGCAAGGTAAAGAGATTCCTTGATGGTGTCAGTACTTCATCCTTGAACATAAGTTTGAGACGAAATTATTTATGTTAAATATTGATTTGAGGATTATCTGGAAACTGAAACTTGTATTGCCCCTAGTTATATTGCATCTGCTTATGGCGATCTGAAAAATTTTCATCTAGGCCTCAAATCAGTAGCATTCAATACACTCCTGAGTGTAAGTAGCAGCACTTAGTAGCATGAAAAATCTTGCTTTGTAACTAGTTAATTCCATATTGAGTATGAATAAATACTTGCATTGAGCAGCCTCTGTAAGTTATTTAAGCTTTTAAAGTATAATTGGCACATCTTGTTCTTAAAACATCATGCTTAGTTGATTCCAGAGTTCTTGTGGATTTTCAGTGAAGAAATTATGGGCTTTGAGAATAGCAAGAGTTGACTTTGAAACTGCCATTGCCAGCCTCCTATTGACAAATTCCTGCTTTATACCACCAATTTGTGAGCAATTTCAGGTAAGGGGAGGAGAGTCTGAGGGGTGGGGGAGAAATGTAGCCAGTGGTTTTAAAGCTGGCAAAAGATTAAGTGCTTGCTCATCATGCCTGTTCTACTGCTCGTTTGCTCTTACATTTTGTATTACCTTATCTGGGTTTGCTGTCAAAATGAAAGGAGACAAATTCTGTAGCTGTGTATCTTTTGGACTCAGACCATTTTCTAAAAGGTAAAACTAACTATAGGCTTTTTTAGGTTGTAGGAGGAGCCCAGGTACAGATTTGAAACACTAGGTGAATAAATCCTTAATGAAACAAAATGTCAGGACTTCAACTGAGCTTGCATTTAATTTTAGTTACCTTTCTGAAGTTTACTGTTGAATTGGGGTAATGCAATTTGACTTCTTCCCCCCTCCAGTGGCCCCAGGTTGTCAGTCAAGACAGACAAATACTAAACATTCCAACAACATAGCTTGTCAGCAGTAATGTAGTTTTAAAGGCAGACAGAGATCTTGACAGTAAGTAAAAAGAAAAGCAATAGTTAACAGAAATGGCAAAAATACTGAGACTTTTAAATGTTTGAAGAAAGCTAATACCTTCAAAGTGCTAGATGAAGAGGAATGGCAGTGGAGCTAAAAGGTGTTTCCACTCAGTCACCTCCTGTCCGAAGGTGCCCACAGGATAATTTATCAGTGCATGCCTTGGAAAAACTGGGAGTGATAGTCTTTCTATTCAGTTAAGATGGAATAACTGGAGGACAGTATGTGCTGAATACCATTCTTCAAAATGCGGTTCCTTAATGCCTTGAAGAAGCAGACAAAAATCAGTATTTTTATCAAGGCTGCTAGGCAGATGAGTCTAGGAATTCTAATCAGTCAGGTGGTAGCTGCTGCTGGTGTTGGTTGATCTAGTTGTTTGATAATGACACTTTGGAATAATAAATGTGTTCATCTGTACAGCACCTTTCCTAAGTCTGTGTTACAGTGGCTTGAGAAGAGGAGGGAAGTGAACAATGTTTGTGTCAGCATTAAGCTTTGACTTCTTAGTAACTGCGTTGATGTTCCTGTATTTCTTTATGGAGAAATCAAAGGTCCTTCAAAAGCTTCAGAACTTGGGGTGGATTTCAAATCTGAATTGTGGGTGTGAATTTTGCAGGCAGGAATAAAAAGTTGGGCTTGGGACCAGTGCTCTTACTCACAGCTGTGAAAATGAAATAGTTAGAAAGTAGCACTTTCCTTGGTAAGAGTGAGAAGGTTTCTTATATCAGCCTGACTTGGCAGTTCCAGGGCAAAAGAATAGGAGAGTGATGTGGGGAAGAGGGTGTGACACCGCGCTGCAGAACAGAACAGGCAGAAACATCTACACAGTGATCCATAAAGGTACAAACAAATCAGAGGAGGAATGTATGTGCTTGTATTATCATGAGACTTGGTAGCAGTTTTTATGATACAAATCAATCTAGTATCAAGTTGAAGAAGGCCAGTAGTGTGAAGGTGGCGTTACAGCTTTGCTTAAATGCCACCTGGGTGACTACCAGCTTTATTTTGTAAGGTAGTTTAATCAGTTGTCCTTTGCCTAAAATGAACGAGCTTAGGCAAGTTTATGTGTACTCACAATTGTCCTATATTAGGGCAGTTTTGCTTAGAATTTTTTTAAGTCCCTTCGTTTCTCTGGAAGTAATCTGGAGAATATTGAATTTCCTTTTGGAGAAGGCATGTGAGTTTCAGTATAAGAGTTTGTGTGAATTTTTCAGGTCCTGGCTTCCCCTAAAGTAGCAGAAAAATAATTTTGCTGGAGGCAAATGAGAGATTGCTTATAGCAACTGATTCTTAAACAACTCCAGTTTCAGGGTTCTCCTGAAGTCTCCTGTTTTTTTGTTTGGGTTTTTTTTTTTTTTTTTTCTAACAGAAAATCTTTAAGATTGAGTGCTGGTTGGATACTGTTCCTTCTATTTGGTGTTACACTGTGGACGTATTATCTTTCTTGTGAGCTGCTATTCTCACCAGGTTTCTGTGTAAACTGGAAGCTCTTCAGGAGCAAGCCTGAGTTTCTGTAAAAATGTTGGCCAATTTGGGAGGGAGGGAGAGACAGACAGTCTGGGGTCCTTGCAGGACTTCTGGATGCTTCTCTTGCCACCACTTCTGTATTAAGTGTTCTTGCAGGTTTAAGTGTGATTTCTGTCTTACCGGGCTGATATTAGGTACCATCTGTGTCAAAGCTTTATTTCAGTGTGTACAGATACTGTTGAATAGTAGTTTGCCAGGAGATGGCAGTGAGTTACCAGTTTGTACAGTGTGACCAGCAGACAGAACAGCAGAGTGTCAGGGTGCCCCTGTGGGGTCAAGTGTGTGTAGGGTGTCCTGTGGTGTTTACCAGACCTTGACAGACTTGGAACGTGCCAGTGTCAAAGAGCACGTTTCCCACACGCCAGTGCAAAAGAGTAAGTACAACTCTGCTGATTTCTGAGAGTCCCAAGAGTACTTGTGCATTCATAAAAAGCACCAGCAGGGCAATGATAATAAAGACTAGATAAAAACTGTTGAGTGTGACACGGATCATATATTTTTAGGAGATCCATGCATCCAATATTAAAAGTATTTTAAAAGAAATGTGGGAACATAATGACATGTAGTCTTAATGAATGTGCTTTCAACTGTAAGTGGCTCTTGGTTAGCTGATAGACATGTAAAACACCAATGCTTCAATCCAGCAGCGGCTTCCTAAAAAGTCTTCACCCAAGGCAGCTGGGGCCTTGCAATTTCACTTTCCTTCAGTGTGTTGCTGCTCTTAATGTTTGCAAGGCCATTGCAGAGACTGCAGGACAGATGTTGCATCAGAGTTCTGCATTGCTGCCCTTTAGGGAGTCAAACATCTCGAATAAACTGGTTCTGTCTGGGGAGCAGGCCCACAGTAAAGGTGTGTTTCACAAGCATGTTGTTTCTGAATAACAGGTATATTTTTCAGATAAATCAGAGCAAATAAAGACTGAGGCGTAAAATGGATTCCTTGTTAAATAGTGGGAAATCCATACACAAATTGTTTCAAGACAAATCTGTAGAAAACTCTTACTAGTTTTGATATAATGACTGTCAGGTATCCTCCAGAGCTGCAAGATGCTTGCTGAGGACCTCGCTAACCTTGCCAATTGCGATTACGGCTTGCAAAGTAGACTACCTCAAGTGTGGAACATCATGCAGCTTATGTTTTGACTTATTTTTCAACACGCTGCTTTTTTCTCAGCAAAACAAGATTCAGCCTTTGGATATAGAATCCTTCAGTCATCAATCTTAATCTGTTCTTCAACTGAACCTCCAGTGGATTTAAATGAATTCAGTGGCCCCCATAGCTTGAAAGGACATACAAATGTTTATGGTTTGGAAATGTATTGTAAGGAATGGCCTATGGCAGGTCACCCTCTTGTATGGGGGCTGGTTTTGTTTGTTTTTATTCATTCCTCTTGTATAGGTTAGAGATAGGGGATTTAATCTCAATTTTTTCCAGAGTGTGAAATGAAAGTATACAGCCTCTGTTATGAACTGGCAGGGAAACAGGTATCTGCCTGGAGGAAATTAAGGGAAAGAGAGTTACTTTTATTTCCCTTAGTTGCAGTTGAAAAGCTTGAACTCTATTACTAGCCTGTTTGAAAATTACCTGTTGTAGATTATTCCTTAAGTGAAAATACATCATTGCACAAGTGGGAAGGTGTGTGGCCTAGTTGATTGCAACACTTGAGTATGCCTGCTTTAGGATAAATCTTTGCTTAAGACAACTAGATCAGGTCCTAGGAAAAGAATACTAATTTTCTTTCATACCAACTTTAATCTAGCCAAATCAAATTCCTCCATCACAATTCTTCCTATTTTCATATATTGAACAAATGGTGCTGTCCATGAAGTCAAGTTTCATTATGATTTTGATATTTTATTGATTGACACATGGATATGGTTGAAACTGTACAACTATTTTACTGTTAATAAAAAACATGGAGGGTTTCTTTCAGTAAGAAAAAGCAGTCATAATAAAGTAGAAGTAATAATAGTGAATGATACCAAGAAGCAATTTAACTGTTAGATGTAAAGTTTTATAGACCTGAAGAGTGTTTTGTGAACCTTAGAACTTGCCTTTCTTCCATTTATATCAATGTATAGGGTATTATTTTTCACTGGAGACCTTGCCTTGCTTGCTTTCAATTTATTTATTGATGAAACTGCATAGCTTAAAATCCCAGTCAAGGTCAAATCAGTTAAAACTGATAATAAACTATAAGTAGACAAGTTTCTACTGTATATCATATATTATTGTGCATATTGTCACTATTTATTTTTTTTTCCCTGTTAGGGATAACCATTTTTGTAATTAGTGAGGACAACACTGGTACAAAAATTGCAAAACAGTTGCACTGGGAGCATGAAAATGGGTTATTTTCTTTTGCTTCCTTCCCCCACTGCCCATGAACATACATAAATCCCTGAACAGTGAAAGACACGGTTTGCTTCCTCGTGATTTCAAGACCTATCTCCACTCACTTTGTCCCAGCAAGGTCTCTGGTTCCTTACTCTCTTGCTGTGCTTCCCAGACATACAGTCCCTCGGATCCTTCATCCGTCTCCAGGGCTGTGCTGTTTGGTATGGCATGTTGCCTTGGATAAGCTGCTATTTTTCTGGCAGAAGAGGGGTTTAATTGCACCTTCTGCTAGCCTAACGAATGGTGTTTGGAACACTTCTGCACTTTGAGTTGTTCTTTAACCACAGATCAAAAGTCTGACTAACAACAGCTGTTAACACCTGTTTTCCAGTGTAATAGTAAATATATTATTT